GTGTGTGTGTGTGTGTGTGTGTGTGTGTGTGTGTGTGTGTGTTGTGTTGGTTTTATTGGCAGTGACTGGTTAAAGAATATCTTTGTATATTGTACCATCATTGTTTTAGAACTGTTACGAGTTTTCTAGGCTTTTTCMCCTTTTTTTCTTTTTTTTGTGATTGATGATGTTTTTGCTTCTCTGTGTGTATGTGTATGTGTATGTGTGGTCATTTGCCCTTTGTGTTAACAAAATATCAGATGAACTACTAGATGGGCTTTAATACAAATAAAATACATCACTAGATGTAGACTAAATAGCTTAGTTATGGAGTTCCCAAAATTAAGATGGCCACCAATGGTCCAAACACATAAATGGCTACAACTTATTAATTATGTAATTTACAGAAATTAAGCTAGAATTTGGTGTGGTTAAAGAGAGTCCCCTCAAACATACTTTGAACCAATCAAAAAAAAATTCCTCAATTTTACTTGAGAACTCATAAAACTTTAATTTAATATTTGAACAAAAAATGGTTACTGCTTTGTTATTTTTCAACATAAGATACTCTTAGCTCGAAAAAAAATTCTTTTTTTGAGTAAAAAAATACAAATCTCCTGAGGGATTTGTAGCAGGATGATTTATGTATAACATTTTGCTCTTCTGATTTATTTTGTCATGTCTAAATTTATAACAATGTAAAATGTAAATAAATTGGCTTAAAACTGGTCAGGGAGGCAGCTGATCCAGTGCAATTCTGAATTACATCCAGTTTAAAAGGAAATGGCTCAAAAAGCATTATCTTTCTTACAGACTGTTTTTAAGTAAACCATAGCACTGTTTTTTGTTTGTTTTTATGATGTCATTCAAGCTTCATGACTATGAAAGCAAGAGATATGGCAGAGAGCTGAGAAGTGACTGATACAAAAATAAAACACTAATTGAATTTACGACACAATGACCTGATTTAGAAGTTGTTCCTGGTTCAAGACTGTCAACCACTTCACACAGTCCCAGATTTACATATTTCTGTAGCATGAAAATCAGAGGAGATAATGCATGTTGTGCGTCTCGAGTTTCTTTTCGCATCACTAAGTCTTTTTGCTGCTCCAGCGAGCTGGGTTTCTGCTGTGGGCATTCTTCCCTCCCCTGTGTGGAGTGACTTGCTCCTGGGCAAGTTCCTCAAGAAAAAAAAAAAACTAAAAGTCTAAATTTGTCTCTTTCTCTTTCACCATTGCAAAATCATCTCAGCTCTGGAAGCTAGTTCAAACCTACAGACATGAAGGGCCAATTATCAGAAGGTTTTTGTAGATGACCTCAGTGAATCTCACAAAAAGAAGCAGGAGACCAAACTGCAACATGCACTAGAAGTGAGACACAATACATTCACAGCTCTGAATACGATTACCAGGCCGAGGGCTGGACTGAGGGTCGACGGTAGAAGAAAATAAAGAGAACTGAAACACGAAGCAGAGCCAAAGGGAAATACAAAGAGAATGTTAAACGAGCACACCTCACTTACTGCGAACACTGACCTGCTCCTGGGTAAAAGCCCTCCACTCACCATCAGCTGATGTGCTGGATAAAGAGGAGAAATAGAGGGCACACACCTGCATTGCTCTCAGTATTCACTCCTCCTCCAGACTTCCCATACAACCACACACACATGAGCACACACACTTCATGACTTTCTATCTTCATGGAGACTTTAGTTGACTTTCACCCATTTTTCATTAATTTCTATAGTCCAATGCTTACCATAAACCTTTTAATTACCAATACACAACTAATCCTAAACCTAAACCACCCTTAATCCACATCTTAAACCTAACCCCTAATCAATCAACAGCATTTAAACAAATGAGGGCAGTGGGTCCTAACAAGAAAGGGGTATCAAAAAAATGTACATGTACATTTACAGATCCACACACACACACACACACACACACACACACACACACACACACACACACACACACACACACACACA